TAGTAAGCATAGTACTTTAGGGTCTGTCCTTTGACTTTGGCGACTTGAAGTAGTTGTAAACAGAGTTATAAGTAGGGTAGCTGCAGTATAACCAATTTGAGGACTATTACCTCCACTTAGCACTACGGTCGACCATACCCATGAGGGACTTTCCGAAAATAAGGGGTACCTTATTTTGGGGTTCTTATAATAAGGATCCTACTATTTTGGGGTACTATATTAGGGTCCCCTATTTGCGGAAACCCCCATGGACCTCCAAGTATACAGCAGCTCTCTGCCTCGAGGGTTTTCTGCTTGGGGGACCCTATGCCGAGGAGGTGTTTCAAGGCCTAGGGTTTAGGGTTTAGGCATTAGGGTTTAGGGTTTAGGGTCTAGGCCAGGTGACAAAAAGGGTCGAGAACAGATTTGGTACAGTAGTTCACGTGGGAGATTTGTTTGTAGTGAACGGCGGAAGGAACCGATAGAGGAACAGGTTCAGGGCTCAGGGGCATCTGAAATTGGATTGAGAACCACAGGCAAGAGCACAAAGCTGCGAAGTCTCCAGCCACTACAGGATGTTGTCTCAACTATTCGGCAGCCAAAGTGTCTTATCGTTTTTAGGATGAAGGGTTTTTGGGGGGGCGGGGGTTCAGGAGTCTCCCGTGCAGGCACCTACTCCAACTGCAGCTTCCAGTTCGGGCCGACGGCGGATGCCGCTCAGCCAAAGTGTTTAGGAGTTTAGGGTTTAGGGGTTTAGGGTTTAAGGTTTCTGTTGGTCGGGGTTGTGGTCGGGTTCCACGTGCACTTGTGGAATTGAAAGCACTACTACAAACAAGGCTGCAACACGAAGCATGGTTGCTTTGTTTGTCGTAGAGACGTGCATTGCAACTGCATATTCCACTCCGAAGGCGGCTAAAGGACCAACAAGGACCACAATACGGTTAGCAGAACTAAACCCTAAATCCGAAGTTTCATGACATCGCGATGTCCGCATGAGACGGTGGCAACGTTTTTCACGTAGGAATATTTGTCACTCAAGTTGGACATCCTCCACTCAAGGGGCCGGATGTGTTGAAACAGCACAGGCGCTAGGAAGTTATCCCCAACAGACTTCGCACGGATCTTATGTTATCGAGCCCATGGACAGCTCAGACTTGACATCAATTCAGTATCTGTGCTTTTCGTGTCGTTGAGGTCATTCCGAGAAACATGCTGTTGTGTCATTCGGTACTGCACAATTCCAGTAGGTCTTGATTGTTGCTACTGCAAAAGGGTTCAGCCTCCCTTCTGTACTCTTCCAGCTGCCTCTGCGCGTGAAGTCGCAGCAGGCCCATTGACGTGGGCCGTAACCTCCAAGGACTTTTTCGCTTGGCAGATCTCCATGGGAATGCAGCTGAACTACGTGCCCAAGGACACGGAACTCTTTGTCGCTTCACTTCGGGGTCATGGTGCGTGCTTCTGCGCTTCTTTCATTAATCTAACTAAACTATAAGACTATATAAACCCCCTGTCCAAAGCTTGTAATACCCTAAACCCTAAACCCTAAACGCCTATAACATTTGTGCTAAAGCCGCTGTATTATCAGGGCCCTCTCGCTTTTGACGGGATAATAATTATGGGTAGTTCTCTGAGGTGCTCGGAAGCTCGGAAGTAGGAATTTTCTCGTGCGGCCATGCAAGGACAAAGAGAAGGTCGGCTGGCGCGCCTTGGCTGTCCGAAGCCCTAAATCCTGTAACCTCAAACGGCAAGCCGAAACCCTAAAGCCTATATGATATCCTATATGTCTCTGACCTTAGCAGCTGAGCCTCAGCGTAGCTTCTCAGGGTGTAGCTAACAGGAGAGGAGTCAGCGGCTAAGTAACCAAAGGGCCGTTTACTCCCCGTAATTTCAAGCTCGTGGCTGCCATAGCTCCTAAGCTCCTCAAAGTCATAAAGGCCCAAACCCCTCAACCCGTCACCCTTTAATCTCTGCCAAGTCCGCAAAGATGTGAGGTGGTAGGAGCCTGTTTAAGGACGCTGAACCGAGGCACCTCTAATTCAAAGAAATCTCCACATGAAACTTGAAACTCCAAAACTCCAGGCACTAACTTCTAACCCCTACACCCTCAACCCTACACCCTAGGCCCTGCGACTGTAGCCCCTACCTTGGTCCTAAGCCCTCTAGGTTCCATGACCAACTCCTGGGAACCAGCGGCCGTTGATCTCCGGTCCTGTTCGGCTGCCAGCCGCGATTTGAGTCCCGCGAATGTAGGTTTTCGGGATAAAGAGAATGAGATCGAGCCCTAAACCCTGAACCCTATATCCCCAAGTTCAAACTATCACGCTGACTATCGCACCTATGGATCCTCGCTTGGCTTGTCCGAGTTGTGAGAGTGTAAGCCCTATAAACCCCATAGGGCCAAATAATATGATACCTTGAAATCTTCAAGATGCGGATCTCGGGATTCCGAGATTAGGACCATTGGACTTTGGGATTCGGACGTAGGACCACAAGAATCACGGTCCGCAAGGTTTATATAAAGATTCTATTCTACTCGAGTGGGAGAGCTCTTCGAAGCATTTTAGGAAGACTTGTCCCTAAGCCCTGAACCGATGGGTTAGCCGTGAATTCTTGGGTTCCAGCCTGCTACAGAGGCTGCCAGCCTTAGTTTTAGTCCTCGGTGCTTAAGGTCTACCTGGACCCTAAAGAACCTACTTTGCTAAGGACTTAAATGAGGAAACCATAATAAGGGACCCTACAAAGGCAGGTTCTTCAGGGTTTAGGACGGTTTAGGTAGGGTTCCGGATTCTTAGATGAATACGCAACCCTGAACCCCTACAACCGTGGGGGTTCGGGGGTTCGGTGTGTCCAGTATACGTATGGGGGCCGAAATAATTACCTATAGTATTTTGGGGGCTCCTTATTATAATGACGGTATAAAGGGTCCCAAAACCCTATTCTAATTGTTAAGGCCCCTCAGTAGTGGCTTGTGTTTGGAATGTAAGTGGGTCTTTCAGCCTGCGCTCAGACTGTCTCTTTCTTCGCATGCCTGTACCTGTCCGACAGTGATTCAATACTCATAGGGGTCGGGATCGTTAAGAGTGGATTGTCTTATACTCCCTGTTATCATTACCGTGTGTTGAACCCCCAACCCTATTCTGATTATGAAGGCCCGACATTAACCCTGAATCGCAACACGTCCTAGGTCTACGGGCAGGAGCAGTACGATGAGGTCATGAGCAACATCACCAGCTGCAGCGTCATCATAGAAGATGCCGATATGCTTAAACTTTCCAGTTTTTGGCGGCGGGGCCGTTGGGGGTCGGGATGAGGGGTTTGGGAGTCGCAATGCTGAGTGAAAACAGAGGCAGGTTCTCAGACCGTGCACTAGGATGTCTTCGGCCTGAGTCCAACTGCCACTCGTGCTGCTTGCTGGGTACCTGGCTCTTCTGGCATCCGAATCAGAGATTCCTAGGTGCCGAGTTCGCGTGTCTTGTAAAGCGAACCAGGAAGAATTCTCATTCCAAAGCCTGGGCCTAGGTTTGTTCTTTCTGATATTGCGCCCAGAGTGCGCACTTGTTCCTCAACATGCGAACAAACCAGCATTCGCGCACCTCCGTCTGTGCAGAGGCGGACGTCTAGACTTATTCTACTTTTAGTTATGTTTGTTGCATTGTTGTCAGCGTTACTTTTGTTATTACAAATTTGTTGTTATTGTTTTTGTTCGTACTTATCTGTACTTATCTTGTCATCGCTTCTATGACTTTAACTTTGCTCTTTCTGCATGTTCTGTTACAATCTCTATCCTACTTGCTGTAGCGGTTGTTACTGTCGTCTTTATGGTTCTGGATGTAAACTGCGTCTGTAGCTGAACAACTTCCGACCAATAGTCGGGTGACGACCGTGAAGATCTTGCCATTTTCCCTAAACCCTAAGTCCCAAACCCCTAAAACGTTAGTAGGAGGCAAAAAACCCCTAAACCGTTAGAGTTTCTGAGTGCCATGTCGTGCTTCGTCCAGTGTGACAGCGCTGTACTGAGCTCAGGCTGATGCTTGCAATGCCGACCCAGCCTGCAAATTCAGACCAATTTTTCACACGGGCCCCTAGGCAGGTTTAGGGTTCAGGCTTTAGGGGTTTAGGGTTTAGGGTTCAGGGTTTAGGGTTTTAGGGTTTTGCGTTTCGGAGCACAGCTTGTGGCCCGTGCTCAAGTTTTGGATGTTGCACTGGAGGGCGCTGGCCTTGAGCATCTTGTTTCGGGACCGATGATTGCTGTCAGTTGAGAACACCTTGGGGCGTGGTTACAGCTGCTTTAGCACTGGTATCAAGACCAAGGGCAAATCGGAACCTACAGAAAATCCACAGTTGGAAAGCATCAAGGATTGTAAGGACAGTAAGGGAAGAAGACGAGAATTGCCAGCTGCTAGCTGGTGGTTTCTTAAGCAACGCCACAGTACTTCCTCGTCGAGCGAGAGAGATGTTGCCTCCTCTCGGGCACTTACGGGAAGTAGGGCTCTCGGCTTCGAGCTGAAGGTTTAGGGAGGCTGAAACAACAAGTGTCGTTCTATTAAGTGCAGCAGCGACACGTATTCCGCTGTGTCGCTTCACGTTTTCCTCGAACCTTCAGCCCCACATTATATGGCTCAGTTGCTTTGCCGCCCCGCCCTTTCCCAGGCTATTTACCCAGTTTTCGGTGCTGAACACTTGGAGTTGGTGACTAGGGATTCGGGAGACAGAAGAAGCCTGAATGATGAATTCACTACTGCAGGTTTTGTTCCCCCACCTAATGTTTAGGGCCTTGATATTTACAACAGGGTTTTGTGCATACGTACTTTGGTTTCATCGCGATATGTGCGGATTCTATTGCTAATTATTCCGACCTGTATACTAACCCTGAGCTGAGGCAAGTGCATGGTGGCGCCCGTGCACGAGTTCAACTGGATACCGCAGATCATCTACACAACTAGCACCACATCTGTCGTGACTGCGACTATGACAAACACATCCACAACGTCTGCAAGCTCAACAACCACGATTACCGGCTCTTACACAGCCACCTCATCCTCGACAATCAGTGTCACCGACACGTCCACGACCTCCGCAACCGCGACGGTCACGACTTCCGCCACGCATACTTCCACATCGAGCTTTACCGTGACGACCACAACGACTGTAAGTATGACGACCCAGACAGCCACAACTTCTACCAGTCTTACTTCCACTGTAAGCTCCACGGTAACAAGCACTACTAGCAGAAGCAAGACGACCACAACTTCCCAAACTGATTCAACAACGACCTCCTTCACGGCGACCTCCACGGTCAGTTCTACCTCGTCCCTGACTACCACAATGACGACCACCACCACAATAACTGCTACCACGACTTCCTCAGTCACAGCTACGACTACGACAAGTGCTACCACAACTACTTCCGTCTCGCACACATCAACTACTTCTACATCTACCACTTTCACCTCGAGCTCCACTACGACCGTGACAGCAACAACCACATCGATCACGATGACATCGACTTCAACTTCAACTTTGACGACCAGCATCTCGTCAACCACAAGCAAAACAGCATCCAGCACGAGCACGACGTCCTTCACAAGCACGACTTCCACAACCTCTCACACCTCGACCTCAACAGTCACCGCGACAACCACATCAGCCACAAGCACGTCTTCGAGCACAACCGAGACATCCACCACGACCCACACGTCGAGCTCAACGAGCACGTCCAAAACCATGACATTCACATCGTCCGTCACGACAACATCGTCCACTGCGACCACTGCTACTTCAACCAGTACATCTGCTACCAGTACGACGTCTTCCACATCCTCGACCACCACCACAACTGAGACCCAGACCAGCACATCACGCACGATTCTTGCCGTCAAGTGCTGGGCTTTGCGTACTATCCGTAGCAGTGTGACCTTTGAGCTTATTGGCATGTCAGCTGCACACGCATACCATAAACGAGGGGGCTTATATGCTACTCCTGATTTATGGAGAAAAACTGTCCTGTTGTTTTTGACCATGATGATACCTTCTCGTTTCCACCACGAGTAGTTGCACTCCGTACTAACTACTATTACTGCTATCTTCACGCGTGTTCTAGCTCCAAACGGTTCGCTACGAAAACCACTAGCTACGAACTCCTAGCTACGAATTACTAGGCTCTCGCTACGAAAACGCACTCTACGTCAAACTGGCTGGTAGCTTCTTTGAAACTTTGTGAACTTACTACTGGCAGCTGGCGCTATCCTACTATAACTAATTTACTACTGCTACGGCTACTGCTACTACGGCTACTACCACTACTATTGCTAGCTACAACTACTACCACTACCACTACCACTACCACTACCACTACCACTACTACTACTACTACCACTACTACTACTGCTACTACTACTACTACTACCACCACTACTACAACTCCTACTACTACTCCTTCTATTCTATTC